CACGCCGACTGCCCCCTCCCACCACCATACTAAGATAGCATTTTGACTCAGGTGCACCACAATGTTACCAGATTGTCTTCCTATTACTCGAAGTAGAAAAGGGTAGTGATACTTATTAGAGGATTCTGCAGCTCGGTAGCTTACCAGCTACAGTTGTAAACTCACCGTTCACAGATACACAGCATGTAGGTGTGAGCGAACTCATACCAGTAGAGTCGAAGGAAGTGAGCACGTAATTCGGTCAGGGAATGAAAGTCAAGGCGATACTTGAAATTCCAGCTCACGAAGGCTTTTTCTGATTCAAGAGAAACAATCCGATCCGTGCTCTTTCCTCGTTAATTTTGGAGATGGACAAAATCCCTTGATAGAGCGCAGCGTGAGCGCCTCATTCTACCTCTCAACTACGAACACTGGAGCACCCATGGCCAGAGTCAGTAGCCGTGACACTCAACTGGCGGTGACCGAAACAAGGAAAGTTGTTGGTGACACCCAGCAAAATCTTTTCCACGGGCCCTTCACCACGCGACGCTCCACATGTCCTGCCGTGCTTGGGCAACTAAACTACCTCAGACTATGTCCGATTCTTCCTGAACAACCAACATATCGTATCTACATACTGCACTCAAGATCAGTGGAGTGGGGAAGGATCGTTGGAAAAAAAGGAGTGGGGAAAGGGGGGGGGGGAGAATTAGGTTACGTGGGTACGGAAGAAAACCAAACGATAGCAGTTTGTATTAATAGAGTATGAAATTCAAGGAAGTTAACCTCTGACAAAATATTACCTCCTTTTTTGGCCCACACTGCTCAAATTGAGCAAAGAAATGTCTGAGTTGTTTGCGGATCTCTCGGCTGCAGTGGAAATACACAGGTAGACGAGAGGCCGTCGATGAGATTGTCAAAAGGGACGAGAGATCAGCGAGGTAACTGGAATGGCATCAATTAGACTACAAATCCCCACGGTTGGCCGGCTTTGCGGAGTTCATATCCCTGAGAACAGCTCTAGCTCTAACTCACTTGTATATGCGTCCTTCGCCAAGAGTTCGTAACCACTCCGGTTTAATGAATTCCATAATTGTGAGCAGAAGGTTGAGAGTGTTGGTAAGGAGGTATACGGTGACAAGAGCGGCTAGTGTCCTTGTGGCATCTCTTTTCTTTTTTCGGGCTTCAACTGCAATCGCAGAGCCAGGCAAAAGAGTGGGCAGTTGCTGAAAGAAGTTTCATTAAGAGTTGCCTACAACATCACATACGAAATCCCTTTTTCAAAAAAGGTAGGGAGAAATGTTGAAATGCTGAAAAATGGGGTAGTTGGAGAAAAAGGGCATGCAAAAATACCCGGTAAAATGCAAAAAGTAAAAAATGTAAGGGATACGTATTGATCAACAAGGAACAATGTAATCAATGAGATCGGGTGATGTGAGATACAAGAAACATTAAATTACGATCGATAACAGGAAGACAGGTGTAATAGAAAGAGCGCACCAGAAAAGTCTTTAAGAATGTGTAGTGCTTTTCCAACACGGTTGCACGATATAGGGGTACCAACACAAAGGATCGCTTCTCTGAGCGGCTGTGGGAATGCCAAAAATGTGTGGAAATAATGGCCTGAGGTTCATACCCACTGGAGACCAATTTTGCATTGATATGCTCTCAACTTTCTTGTGCTCATACATATTTACACTTATTTACTGATAAAAATGCTAATATGCATGAAAATTGTAATAATAAACGTTACAAATTGTGTACAGTAAACTGAAATTTGAGAAGACTCCTTCCTAAAAAATATTCTCTCATTTTTCTAGCAATCCCAGGGCCGTTCAGTGAAAAAAATAACCACTAGCTTCACGCTCCTCGCAAGTG